TCAATCATCGCTTTGCCATAGAGTACTGTGATAACCAGGCTGGTTCTCCCTGCCCTCTTCCCCCTCCACCCCCTCCGTCCCTCCCCTACTTTTTAGCTACAGGAGGGCGAGGGTGCAGGATACTTGACGACGAAGCGGAGTTGCTATTAATAGAACTTTTCCTCATGCGGCCGAAGGACGTTTAAGAGGGCTTCGAGACACCACCAGTGGATTACCCCTTGAACAACGTAGCTGCAAGGGAATCCTCTGGATACGCTTGTGCTTGTGAGCACACGCTGATGTTGCTGCTGCTTGACCTAGGATGTATGGCATGATGCTTTGGTGGTATGCGTTGTGAAGTGTGTTGATGGCTGCGGCTGTTTGGCTGAGCCTAGCAACAATGTAGGAGCGTAAGCACCACTGAGGTGCACACAAGGAATCTTCATCGTTTGAGCCTCCCATCGTAACGCCTAGACGTGCATCCGCGTGAGATGTCCGAGGAAGAATCGCCTGTGGTGTTGGGTAAGTTCGTTTTGAGGCCTTCGATCCAATGGAGGGAAATTCCGAGGTGTAGTCATACGTGCACAACAATTTGGTCAGGTTGTTATTTGGTTTAATCTCCACGTTGAAAATAGTCTCTTCTCGCGTTAAGAGTCACGGTCTGCTCGGAAACTGTATATGCGTTAGTGCGGAAATTCGATGCACCTGTCTTGGTGCTTGGAAGAGCTCCGGACCATGTGGTCGAAACCATGCCGTCGGTCGTGTAAAATAATGAGGATCACTTGGGGAGAGGGAGCGGTTGTGATGAAACATGAAGGCCATGTAGTTGATCCCACGGTAGATTTGAGTGTCGTTTGTCTACGAAGACATTGATTAAGGAGTGCGAGAGATACATACCTTTTGTGCGGCACTGTGTGCAGGGATGAGAATATGTGCCGTTCCACCATATCGTTCCTGTATTAGTGTTTGACCGTGGGCACGGTCGCGTGCCGGCACAAATACACGTACGTTTGGTTGTTTCTCGAAATTCCATCATTGCACACGTGTCTATTGAGGTATCGTGTTTGGTGGTGCCGTTGAGTGGCTTAGCCAAAGGGATGCCAACTATGTAACGCGACGCCAAGAGATGCTGACCAATCAGGAAACCACGTGCCGCAATAACAAGAAAACATCTCGGGAGATCTTGCTCGCGCAGGTAGGGCGCGGTAGTGCGGCCCTGAAAATTTTTCACTCGAACCACCGATACGGCACCGGTATGCCGCTATTAGTTCCCATCGTCATGTCATGTAAAAAGGGTTGAAACACGGGTAGCCGCCGCCACCTCTATAGCAGCGCGAGTCGCTAAACAGGCCCCCCCTCGCTTCTCAAGTCAGCTTCCACGGCTACGACCGCCGTGCGCGCTCCTCCCCCACGACACTGGGAGATCGTCTTCGAGCTCGGTACAACCGTCAAAGGCAAGACACAAAACATGTTTTTCTACATCATCTGCTCCCCCGGCGGCAACACCCGGAATCACGAACAACGCTTATCGGCCAGCACCGCACCCCCTCCACCAGTGCTGCCTGCAGCAACGTATGTCGGGTACATCCAGCATCCGAAGCTGGTGCGCAGCGTTTGCGGCGTGCTGTCAAAACCACACAGGCGTACGATGGGACATGGCTACCCGCGGACCACCGTGAGCGGGGCCCTCTTGTACAACGCGCTTCGTTCTCCTCGAGACCAGACCCGCCGGCCCGCGGCGGTAGACAAGAAGGTATAAAGAGCATCTACGAGGCGCTTCGCCTGCAACCTTTCTGACTCCGGCCCTCACAACCGACCCCGTTCTCCTCCTACCCCAACCCTCGGCGGCTACCACACGAAAGCACAGCCAAGTAACACAACAAACCACGCGACGACTGGCCCTGCCAACAACTCATTCCTCTTGTTGAATCAACGTGTCACATCGTCTAGGGACGGCTGGGAGGTTTCGCCGCCAAGTTAGACGCGTCAATTTCACCCGGTGCTAGCACTGCTGTTACCTGCGCGTCTCTTGCCCCGCAAACATCTGTATGTACACCGCTGTCTACGTGCTTCGTACTCCTCTCCCCTCTTCTAATCTTCTCTCGCAGTGAGCACTCTACCATTGGTATCGGGGGATCCGTTCGGTGGTGTGTACCAGCACGACGCGAAACCTAGCCTCTAGACTGAGTTCTAATAAACATCAAAGAGGCATCACACCGACTGCAAAGATACAAAACACAATCACACGCAACAGTAGTCTAGCGGTAACATCAGTGACGAAAGCGACACACAACTTCACATGCATCAAAATCTTTCGTGAGGGAAAGGGACGTGCGACACCACACACACCAAAATATAGAACGGGCTCCGCCAGCAATCAAGAACCATGCCGTTTCTTTTTTCAGAAAGAGAGGCTCAAACGTTCGCGAAAAGCAGAGAAAAGGGGCAAGAAACACAGCTTAGCGGTGGATCCTTCTCTACACTCTACGTAACAACCTCCTGTGTCCGACAGGGACGAAGAACTACGAACCCATATCAGCCTCGACTCGAAATGTGACGTTTCCGAATTGCAGGTCCCTTTCGCCACCACTTTATATATTTCTGCATTCCTCGTTCCTCCAAAACGCACCGCACAACTGCCAAGTGGACGCACACGCGCGGGAAGGAGCACCCTCACATGGACACCACCGAGGTTCTCCGCACGAATCTTCCCCGCTTTTTCCTGGCTGGCTCCGCAGGAACCCTCTCCTCGCCTCCGGCTGTCTCGCCCGCCCCCGTCGCAGCATTTGCCGAGGCTCCTACGCTAACCTCCGCCACTTGCTCGGCCGCCAAAACAGCGGCCGTGGCGGCGGCTATAGCCTGCTTCTCGGCCGCCTTCTCCGCCAGCGCTATCGCCGCCGCGCCCGTAACCACCGCCGCCTCCTCCTCCCCCTCCTCCTTCTGCTCCGCCGGGTACACGACGGACAGCTCGCCGACTTCCATGCCGTTGTGGTTCGCCTGGTACGAGATGTACACGTTCCAGAACACGCCCACGAAGCTGCTGAAGACCGGCCGGCTTAGCACCGGGACGAAGGTCGAGTTTATCACGCTCACCACCGGCCAGAAGAGGATCGCGTTTTTCAGCGTCGGCGTGAAGTCCCTCGACAGCTTGGTGCGCACGTCACCCATCGTCTTCCCTTCCTCCAGCAGCGTCAGGGACGCGAACTGGGCGGCCAGCTGGGAGGACAGACGTTGGTCGAGCGCGTGGAAAATGATGAGCTGGCGTTGTGGTTTTACATAGATCCGTGGTCTGTTGACCTATATTAGGTTATTCCGCGATCAGTTTTCAGAAACGCCCTCCGGGGGGCCCAACACACATGTTCGGTGGAAACACAAAAAACAACGGGGCGTTGTCGGATAGAGCTGGGGGGGAAGATCATTTTTACCGAGAACAAATTGTCATCCCGGGTGAAGAACCGGTCGCCGGGGTGCTGATTTAGTCTCCGTTGCTCCGGGCACCCCTCGAGTACAGTGCTCAACAGCTTTGCACACCACTATAAAGACGCTCCGAGATACGGCGACAACAAAAACAGCAACAGCAGCAGCAGCTTCAACCGCAACAGCAACCGCAACAGACATAGCAAAGGCATGCCGAAATTTTCCGCGTAGGCCCCGCCGCCTGCCTCACCATCGGCGGAAGCACCGCCACGGACACCCCGAGCTTCGTCATCACCGCCCGGAGCGATCGCCCTGGGGCCAGGCGCTCGGCGTACATGTTCCACGCGAAGCTCGCGGGCGTCACGAAGAACGCGCCAGTTATCCCCATCCGCATGGTGCGGGTGTGGTCCCAAGCGAACTTTCTCTCCGTGCCAAACGTTTCCATCGCTTGGCACAGCGCGTCCCCTGTTTCAGACACATATCAGCAGCGCGAGAGGTTGGAGAATATTGACACGGGCGGCGGGGGGAGGGGGGGGGGCGACCAAGTCAGCACAAGTTTCGTGTCGGCCGGCCAATTTTGTAGCGGAGTTGATGCGAGGTGTATGCCGTTTTGACGGGCTGGGTGGTGGCGGGGATGGGGGGATGCAGGGGGCGCTCGTTCTACAACAAAGTGCCGCATTCGTTCGACGTAAACCGGTGCGAAGGAGGGCGCTTGGAGGCTGTGTTGTGCTTCTCATCACCCGCGGAGTAATCTGGAACCGTCGCTTTGACCTCGGGGCCAGGTGTTGTTAGAGGCACCCCCCTCCTGCCACCCCCCCCCCCGGGGTGTCTGCCATCGGGATTGGGTTTTCGTCGCTTGGCAACGACGTTGTAAAACAAGCCAATTCACTTCATGTGCTCGGCAACCAGGTTACCGTTTTTTTTTTTTTCCTCCGTTTTTTTTTTTTGGGCGGTAACCATAATGGTGGTCGAGTAGATCATGTTGTGCGGGGTGGAGAACCCTCACTCCGCGCAAGGGGGATGATCGCACCACGTTGTGTTAAAATGGTCAAGCACCCTCGAGGCAGTTACACAGTGCTTACAACTGTCTCTGGAAGTGAAAGCACCAGAAAATAAATTAATTCATACGCAGCTGTCATCCGTACGCAAGGAAGTAAGCACAAGATGCCGAACACCCTTAGCAGGATGCAGCGCACCCTTCATGCGACTCGCCGAATATCTCACGGCGCTTCGCGCTTGGTGATGTGAGAGCCTGGTCCGGTGAGAACCCGGCGTGCTCCGTCCCGGCTTTGTAGGGATGCGAGGTCAATGGTCTAACGACTACGGCATGCACGACTATGAGCACATCCCCCCCCCCTCCTGCCTGCCGGCGCCTCTATAAAAGTCCTTCCTACAAGCACATACACCGGAACAATACCATCTCTGGTGGCCGTAACGGGGAAGAATTGACACTTGCTGTCGACTCAAGCGGTAGAGCAAGCCATCTCTCAACACCATACATCTTGATGAGGGCCCTTGTCCTTGTAAAAGAGTTGCGATGGCTTTATCTGTCTCTTCTCGGTTGGATCAAACGAGTGCGGGCCGTGGAGCATGGACGGACCTTGTGTTCATCGGCACATATCTACACACACGCTGGAATCTCCGCTGCAGTTTCATCCACTACGCATTGTTCACGAGAAAGGAAAAAACAAACAAATCTGGATAACTCATCCCACACGGGTGAAGTCCAACCGTCGGCCTGTCTATGCAAGCACTGCGATGTGAGGCAACGAATTGTTCGGTGTGGTGTTCAGCTGGGGGAGGGGACCGGTTCGTACCAGCCGGAGTTGAACACATGAGGGTAAACACTTGAGTTGCACACTCGAGGAAGGAACACACTTGGGCTATTTCTTTTCTCTTCCATGCTCCCTGCGTTGCTCGCTTTCATTCCTCTCTTAACATTTCTGTTCGGTGACGACTGCTGCTGCTGTTCTCGTCATAGAGGTAACTCATGCCTGTCGCAAATACCCCTGTGCCCTCTCCTGCCGGTCATCTGAACTTTCGCCCTCTTCCTACAAGCCCGAGCAGTGTCGGTGACGTGGCACGTTAGAACTTCTGCTGTGGACGCGAGTTGCTGTTGAAGACAAAAATATTACTTATTTAGTACTGTGTCAATTTTGAAAGATCATCAATTTTGTCGCAAAGTAAGTGCGTCCTTGGAGCTGGTCTGTAAGAAATAGTCTACTTACCGTCCCTAACCTACCCTCACCCACGGCCAACGCACGACCTAGCGACCGCGAACTGCGCTAAATCGCGGCTGCGCGGCGTTGTTGGAATGCGGAATGGGGAGAGGGCGCTGGAGAGGAATCGCCGCACGAACCAACGCTCGACCAATGAGAGGGCGTAAAAGCAAGTAGATGGGAAGAGCCACTACGTAACAAATCCTGGTCTCCGTTGGAAGCGACGCGCTGCAAAGCTTGTTGCTAGTAAACTTGATCGACTTCATAAGTCGCGAGGGAAGGGATTGCTGTACCCTTCTCGCGATAAAAATATATCAGGCAGGAACCGCAGGAGGGCGTCCAACCCCCCCCTCCTATGTGACCCCGGTTGGGTCGTCTAGCTGTGGTAGAAGTGGAGGATAGGGGCCGGAGGGGCAGACGACAGAGTCCAATGAGGGGAGAAAAAATCTAATAAGGTAAAATAAAGACCGCACACACGCTGAAAGAAACGCCGTTCTTCGGCAAGAGTTGCGACGGAGGAAGCAGAGCTCGTATCCTTATCTGTGCTCATCATCAAACCTAAACGACTTGTTCAGAAAAATTGAACGAGTCGTCACACACGTGGGCAGGATGTCGCCTGCTGTGACTTGCAAACACAACACGTGCGCCCTCTGGTGACTGGTGACGCGGCTGGTGTCACTTTTTTTTCTGCCTGCTCTTTGCTCTTTACCAGCACAACAACCTTTCGCTCATCGAACCTCGCCCACCAACTGATCAAATTGTTGTTACATACTCCGCTTGTTGCTCTTGTGAAGAGAACAACACTGTTTTTTCTGTTGGGAGACACACGTACGGATTTTTATTGAACATGGCGTCCAAGAGACGGCACAAGACAAGCCGTGGCAGGCAGACCAGGGAAAAACATGACGATGCAGCAGCAGCTGCTGTGATGAAACACTGAAAAGAACTGCTGTCAAACACACAAACTTGGTTGTTGTACTTCAGCTGTTAGGACCGAAAACAACGAGAAAGATAGAGTGAGGTTTACTACAAATGGCGAGGGTGCAGAAGCATTGGCAGACGACAAAGGTGGTATCAATGCTGGGTAGCTTCCGTCGGCGGGACATATAACGGGCAACATTCAATACGTTGAATCAATCTCCTCACCCATCACAGACACGAGCAACGAACACATCGCACCGCATGAAAAAACACCATCCAAGACTTGCCTAGCATCATCGCCCCCGAAACGCACACCAGATTTTTCACTATTCGCTCTCCCTTGAGAGCCGGGCTGGCCTTCATCGCCGCAGAAGGTAGTCGCACCGCCATTAGTTGCTAAGGGAATGATGTTGTGTACGCTAGCTCGTATGCGTACGCGTTCGGGGCGTTGGTCCCTTTTGTGAGGGGGCGGGGGATGCTTGTCAAAAAACCAAAACGCAGAAGTGTATATTGGACACCCGCGGGGCATCGCAAATTCATTGAAACACCCCGCCCTCATCGTAACATTTTGTACACGCAGAGACAGCAGTAGTCCAGCGTCCAGCGTCACACCAGCTCTCGTGCCGTGACGCAACAAGAATGGCTGGGCATCAAGGCTGGGTCGCGCACCCAACAAAAGCCAGGACCGTGAGGCGTCCTTGTTCGTGCGAGAGAGCGACGGCGGCAGTACCTCTCGTGCGGGTTTCTGACACTTCAAAGCGGGGATTGCTTCCGGCAACTGCTGCTCCCTCAGCAGTAGTGACATGTCACAGCAGCAGGCGAGTTCGACCGCGACCGCAGGGCACGAGTAGATGCCGCACCGGCAAGGCTGCAGCGACAGCCATGGTGCTATGCAATTTGTTCGGTGGAAGCAGCAGCTTCCGCGTGGGAGCTACGCCACCTGCGTTTTTGTCGGCGACAGCAGGAATTGAAAGCGGTGGAGCCCTAAGCGCTGATCATGCTTGGCGTCGTTCTGGTGCCGCCTGTGGGTGTGCGCCCAACAAGTCCTTCACCATCACCACTACCAGCAGAAGAAGCGTGACTTCGAGTCCTGGGGAAAGCGGCACAGCAGTCAGAGCTTCTTCCTCCCGAAGACGCTGCCGGCAGCGGTTGCATCGCGATAGGTCTGCCGTTTTTTCGATGCGTTTGTTAGTTGTAGACGGCAACAATAACGAGGAGGGAACTTCACCACGACAGGAGGAGGAGTCCTCTTCCCGAGCTCTACCCCAGCGATCGGCGGGGGCCCTTGGCCCGGCGGCTAGAGGAGCAACGTCCAGGCTGGAGCTTTTGCGTCAGACGTCAGCGGCGGCAGCCCTCGTCGGAGCCGCGACCGCCGGCCTTTTGTTGCCCACACGACGGGTCGGCGCCTCTACAACCGACTCCTCACGGACCCCGGTAGCAAAGATGGCAGCAGCGGCATCGGAGAGAATGGTGTGGGTCAACGAGGACAGCGGCACGGTGTCCTCGAGACTGTCGCAGACCGACGAAACGTACGGGCAGGGGTTCGTCGCCTACCTGGCGAGGTTTCTGCTCAACTACGATGAGGGCTGCAGGGAGTACTTCAAGGGGAAACTCGACTGCACGCTGCCAAGGCGGGACGGCAGCCACGTTTGGGAAGAGTTTCGGGTGCGTCCTTTTCTCCCCAGTTTTGTCGTGTGGTTTTTGTTTTATTTTTCTCTTCCATACATCTTCGATGCCGAACGTAGCCGCACTGCCCAACCTCGCTGCTCATGGCGTCCCCCCGCCGTGACCATCGTCGTTGTCGATCGCCGACTCCACGGTGCTCCCTTCCAAGCGCCCAACGCTAGCCGTTGTCTCGCTCTCTCCCTCTTTCACAGGGCTTTGTCGCCGCCGTAGGGCTGGGCCTCCACGAGTTCCAGGGCTCCAAGGGCGCGCGCGAGCTCTTGGAGTCCCTCTCGCGCAAGTACGTCTCCGACGGCGCGCCGCAACAGCTCGCGATGCTCTTCTCCCTGCTTCCCCCCGATATCCAGCCCGTCCCGGACATCAAGTCCCTCCTTTCTTTCCCCACGGAAGGCGCCTCCGGCTTCCGTGCGGTAAGGTCGTCCGACTTCGATAAGGACCTAGACTTCAAGTCCATATTTGGGAAGAGCCCGAGCGCACTTCTCCCCGAGGAGCTGCGGCCTCGCTACGACGAGGGCGTGGGAGCGTTTTTCGTGCCAGGCGTGCCGCGACAGGCGGAGATGGCGTTCGGGGCGCGGGGGCCGTTTCCGACCAGCAAGGTAAGAAGAGTCACTCGTTCTATATGTAGAGCAGTGCATAGCTGCTCGCAACTTTCGGATGCGAGATGCGTCGCTGTCAGTGAGTTTGTCAATCTTGTTCCTGGCGCATGTTGCTTCCGTTCTCTCAGGCACTTGATCAATTTGATGCGCCCTTCCTGATGCGTTGTGTACAGGAGCGTATCCTCACGGCGGTCGATTTCGCGGTTTTCGCGGCATGCGGTGCGGTCGGGTGTACCTCGACACACCTGTCGGTAATCCCGCTCGACGTGGTGAAGACGCGCTTGCAGACGGACCCGGGGAGGTACTCAGGCCTCGCGGGGGGGGTTACCACCATCGCGAAAGAGGTGAGTCGGATGCTGCCAGTTTCGTCATCTAGCAGCCGGGCTACGCCGCCGTCCAAAAGTCTCCTGGTGAATTTCATCGATTATTTCACCAAGAGCCTGGAGGTTGGTCTTACGCTCGTGCCTCTGCAACGTTATTACGTGGTTTACATGTGAGTCGTGCAGCCTGGTGTGGGGCACACGCAGCCGTGAACCTGGAGAAGATGCTTGCCTCGAGCTCACGAGCTCGCTAGCTGTTGTGCCGGCGTTCCGACGAAAACCGCCGCCCCGCTTCCGCCCTTAGCACAGATTTCGACAGAGGCAGAACGTCTTTAACACTGTCCAAACCACCAACCCCACCCCTGCAGGAAGGCTGGATGATGCTGATGCAAGGGTTCGGCCCGACCCTCGCGGGTTACTTGTGGTACGGGATTACCGTGTACCCGGGGTACGAGTTATTCAAGCGTCTCTTCATGCAGCTGGTGGGACCGCTGAACGCGGCGCTGTTTCGGGTGCCGTTAGTTCTCGCCGCTGGGGCGGCGGCTACGTCCATCGCCTGCATCGGGGTTTGTCCCGCGGAGGTGAGTCGGGGCGCCCTTTTCTCGAGCTAGCTGTTGGTGGACAAAGTCTTAGGGGGAGAGTGCGAGAAGCAAGGCTTGTGGCGCTGTGGTTGTGCACTTTGCGCACGATCGCAGCCCTCGACCGGGTCGGGTGAATGTGGTTCCGAGTCAACCGATCAGAGCTCTCACCAACCTATATTTATTACGTCCCCAACACCAGAAATTGAGAAACACCCAACAGACGTACTGATACCGGTCCAGGTTGCGACGGACTGTATTTCGCAAGATGCTCTTCACCCCTTGCGGGTCAAACCGAGAGCAGTCTCTATTGGTATCGGGCGTAGCGTTGAGTTGCGATGCCCGCGTACGCCATTCTGATTTTTCATTACAACGTCACTTTATCTACTTCTCCTGCTGACCTGCTCTCCCCGAAACGCCTCCCTCGTGTACTCTCGGCAGGCGGTGCGCATCCGACAGGTGGCTGATCCCGCCGTGGGGAGCATGCCGTCCGCGATCAAGCAGATCGTGGCCGAGAGCGGCTGGGGAAAGCTGTACGAAGGGCTACCATCCATCTTGTTCCGCCAGATTAGCTTTGGAATGATGAAGTTTCTCGTCTTCGACTTCTTCACTGGTACGCCACGATTACATTTTAGCGCCGGTCTTGTATTAATTCTACGATCCTTGTGGTAGCTGTTCTGTGCACAAAGTTGAGTTTACTCCAAGTCGAAAAGTGTGTTGTTGTCGTTGTTGTTGTGTCGATGGCAACTGTCGTGCGAGTTGTTAGTTGATGTCTCGTCTGCTGCATCTTTTTCCCGTCTTTTGTGGACCACGCTGCAGATTTTGCGTACGACCTGGTGCCCTACCTTGCGGATCAAAAATCCACCCAACTTGCGGTCTCTCTTACGAGCGGGCTGGTGGCAGGGGTTTGCGCCGCGATTGTGTCGCAGCCAGGTGAGATACTGCTGTTGCTTTGATGCTGTGGTTTCACCTGAGGTTGTACGTGCAGCGCGTTATCTCGGTTCTACATGCACGGTTTTTCCTTGTCGCTTTTGTAGTCCAAGATATGATGGGAGCCTTGCAGTGAGCGTGTCCAAGAGTCAACGAACCTACCATGGTGTTGTGGACAGCTGTGCAGTTGTCCGCGTCGAACGGGCGATACGTCTTGAGTATTTTCTCGTGTTTCGCTCTTTGCGTTGTGACAGATTCAGTGAGTGTACAGCAGTGCGGGGTCGGCCCTGTCGAGTACCGGTACAGCATGTGCCAGATGATTGACCGGCACTATTCCGGGTGCCGACCCTCAACGCCCACGGCCACCGTATGTGCTGCCTCGATGGAGTTGGTGAAAGCGACGTCAAAACGCCCTCACACACCCTAACAACGCCCACCCTCCCACCGGCCACCGCACCCTGCCTGTCCCATCCTACCGGCACAAACCTACGGCTACAGCCGACACCGTGTTGAGTACGATGAGCCGCTCGCCGGATCGATTGTCGATCCCGAACACCATTAGGACCATCGTCGATGAGCGAGGTCCAGGAGGGCTATTTTTAGGACTTCCCAGCCGTATCGTCTGGTCCGGGGCGATCATCTCGGGACAGTTTTTGCTGTATGACTTGTGCAAGACTGCTCTGCACGTCAGCGTGGACGATCTCAGGGTGTTCCTTGACGTTGTCGCCAGTGCAGGGCTGTGAGGGGACACGACTTTTTTGACAAAACGCCCACTCGTTTGGAGAGAAACATGGAAATAGACAGCACGGAACGAGCGTAATTGCGGGTAGAGTTGGGAGGGGATCAAATAGCCAGATGGTGGGAAGAGATCGGCGGCGGGGTAGCGACGGCGGCCGCTGTTGTCAGAAGCTCCTCGTTGTGCAGTTCGGACCCCCGGTGGTATCGTCTAGATTGGTCTGTGTGTGTTGTCCAAGGATGTGCAAGCTGTCACACGCTCCTCTGTGCCGTCTGTTCTGCATCCCCTTTCGGCTAGCAAGAGGGAGAGAGAGAGAAGAGTGGTATAGATCAACCGGAGGTGTGGAATTTTGAATTGTTGTGCAGGTCTTAGGTGCCCTAGAGGGAAATTACCAGACATGAAAGGCGTAAGTTCGAGCTACTCCGCCGTCAATGCACCAAGGATTGTCTGATTATGAAGGCACTGCTAGGCAAAGAGTTCGTAGATTGAGCACTTGAGAAATCACGCAAGCGCTGGGAAAAATCCTTGAGTACTCTATTAACGTCTAATTATACGACCAATGGAGTGGTCGATTCTTGCACTCCCAGTTGAAGCGAAGTGCACCGCGCTAAACTCGGGG